CCCCAGAAGAAATAGTCAAGGGGGTTGCCACAAGTCCGGTGACCAGTGGTGAGAAACATTTTTGAGCAGCCACGGGGTGGGGGTCGTCTTGGCCTGGTGTGCAGGAGTGATGTCATGCTGGAAGACGTAGTGGCGTCCGTCGGCGATCTCGTCCATCCAGGGCTTCACCACTCTCCTCGGCACCTCCTGGTAGATCTCAGCGGTGACTCTCAGGCTCTTTTGAAAGAAGAACGGAGGCATGACCTCCCCCTCGCTGGAGACGACACCAATGAGGAAAACTTCGTATGTTTCACGACGGGAACCTCCTCGATATCCTTGCAGATCCACCTGTCTTTCTGCTTGTTGCTCATCTGGCCCTGGATGAAATTCTTTTCATCAGAAAAGAACCTCAGCATCACGGCGGACCCGTGCCTGAGCTCGTTCAGCAAAGCCGCCGCCTTGACCTTCGTGACGAGCATGCGATGAGAATTGCGGTAGGAGGAGTAACCTATGTCCTTCTTGATCTTTCGGCAGATTGTTGACTTGTGACGGCCCATGTCAGCGGTGATCTTGGCGTAGCTCTGGCTTCCATCATTGTCGACTGTCTCTTTGAAGGCGGCGACGAACTGGTCGGTCCTAACGGCCGAAGAACGAACATTTTGAGCCTTTCGTTTTGGCAAGAAACTCGTTCTTGTTCTTACACACCTTCCTCTTCCTCCAAATGTCCATGACCATGTTCCTCTTGAACCCAAACCAGGCCATCACTTCCGCAGGCTTCTTCCCGACGCGTAAAGAAGCTACTACCGCTGCTTTGCGCTCATATTCCATCCTGGAAAAGGGTAGAGAGAAAAACTTTAATTAGTTGTCAAACTGTCGTGTGTATCTGCATATACAACTTTTGTTTTTATTGCCTGTTTCGTTTTCTTTTTGTCAAATGTCGGATTTTGCTGCAACCCCCTGTATATACTGGTACAGTATTTGTATTAAAACAAAACATGGATTCTTGGTACCCTCTTACCGGTTTGGACTTCTCCCCAAAATTTGTTTTTGATTGGTTAATGTATGTCTATTTTAGAAAGTGTGACAGATGGACGGATGGACTAACGGAACTCATATAATTTTATATATACATAGATAACCAAATCTTCAGTGTTTCAAGTAGACACAAATACACGCAAATATAGAGTTTTGCATATTAGAAAAGAGTATCTTGTGGCCGCCTTCCTCACCTGACTGCAACCCCCTGATTATTTCTTCTGGGGCGTGATCGATGCTAAAGCCAACAAGCCCACCCACAACACGGTCGACACTCTGAAGGCTGCCATCTTGAAGGGGTTCGCCGCTATGGACAAGGACATGGTCGCCAAAGCGTGTGACTCATTTCGCGCCTGCCTTGAGATAGTCGTCGCCGCCAGCGGTGGTTACATTGAAAAATAATGTAGTATGTAACTCTAACAGTTGCTAAATAAAATGTCGGGTTTCTGCATATACAACTTTTATTTTTATTGCCTATTTCGTTTTCTTTTTGTGAAAGATTTGGATTTTGCTGCAACACCCTGTACAATAGACAAATTTCGTAGAAAATATGTGCTTCTCCTACAGGAATCGAACCTGTAGCCCTTAATGGAAACCATCATTTGATCTGATGTACTGTTAAACATCCAGCCACTAAGAAGCGTCTGGTTAGCAAAGTCCGAGTTACTGTTTATAAACATGGACATTCGACGCTTTTTCATGATCGATCATATCTGCTGACAAAATATATCTTAACGTAAACAATAACAACATATTATGATATATTTTTTATTTTATTTTAATATATTTTCTGTTTATATTCTATCTTTTTTACTTCAATAAATTATATCTACAAAAATAACGTATAAACAGAAAGTATATTAAAATAATTGGCTGACTTAATCCACAGTAAATAGTTCGTTTCGGCAATGTTACCACTGGCGAACGGCTATATATGTAAAAGAAAATGACAATGCCTTTCTTTATTCGCATTTAGTTAAGTAAATAAATCATTATCTACCACTTAGGCGCCGAATTCAAAGAGAATGGTGAATTAGATGATTGAAAATACTAGAGAAAATTCTACAAGTACATCTCGTCCAGGGTATGACGATAAACTACATCTAGCAGCAAGGCCCCTGATCAGGAGGTTTTGATGAGTGTGGAACCAATTGCTGGTGTTCCCAGGTCCAGCCTGACCCAGAATAGTAGCACATGTTAGGGTCTCTCACCTATGGGCAAATAGTTAACACCGAAACTTGTGTAAAAATAGGTTTTAATACCAGGAATACTTTGTAATAAAAACAAAAATTATTACCAGCAATATTTTTTTAAGGAAAAATCATTATCAGCAATACTTATAAAAAAATACCAACAATACAAACAGTAATACATTCTTTGGAAAAAATATGACCAGCTATAGATTTCTTCAAGGAAAAATATTTCCAGAAATAGATATTTGAAGAAAAACATTACCAACAATAAAAATTTTGTCGGTATTAAATAACCCATCGAGTTTGATGTGCCGTAAAACAAAAGAAAATAAACCAATTTAAACCAAAGAATACATATGCTATTCATACGAATCTATCCTAAAAATGTTGTCGGCATTAAATAAGCCATTCAGGTTGATATGCCGTAAAACAAAATAAACGAAACCAATCTAAACCAAAGAATACATATTCTATTCATACGAATCTATCCTAAAAATGTTGTCGGCATTAAAATCGAGGTTGATATGCCGTAAAACAAAATAAACCAAACAAATAAACCAAAGAATACATATTCTATTCATGCGAATCTATCCTAAAAATGTTGTCGAATTAAATAACCCATCGAGGTTGGTATGCCGTAAAACAAAATAAACCAATCTAAACCAAAGAATACATATTCTATTCATACAAATCTATCCTAAAAATGTTGTCGGCATTAAATAACCCATCGAGGTTGATATGCCGTAAAAACAAAATAAACGAAACCAATCTAAACCAAAGAATACATATTCTATTCATACGAATCTATCCTAAAAATGTTGTCGGCATTAAATAACCCATTGAGGTTGATATACCGTAAAACAAAATAAACCAAACCAAAAAACAATACATATACTACAAATCTATCCTAAAAATGTTGTCGGCATTAAATAACCCATTGAGGTTGATATGCCGTAAAAAAAAAATAAACCAAACCAATCTAAAGCAAAGAATACATATTCTATTCATACAAATCTATCCTAAAAAATTAAATAACCCATTGAGGTTGATATGCCGTAAAACAAAATAAACCAAACTACAAGCACATCTACGTCAGTAAGCGTGTCTGTAATCAGTTGCGTTCAAAGACGGGTTGGGGGAAAATCAGGATAGGGAAGCACGTAAGAGGAATGGATTTAACATCAGTTGACCACGTCTCTCCCTCACAATTAATGTTCTCAGCTACTTCGACGCATTGACACGAATGTTTGAAGGTTATATAGCACATTCCATAAACAATAATTTTGAATAAACAAAATTTACGGAAGACAAAGAAGATTGATTGTTTTCACTGAAAAGTTGGTTTTGTTTTTTTTATTTATGCGCTTTTCATTTGAATATGACTTGTTTGTTCGACATTTTAGAAGTGAATTGTTGCATACACATATGTATGTGTGTTTTCTCGAAGAATGAGTTATTATACTGATGTTTCTAGCTTGCTCATCTGTGCGACAAATAATTCACTTTGTTATTGATAGCCATTCTGTCTTTCCTTGAAATCAATCGCTGTCCATTCGTATCTATCACTCTATGTACTGTCGGTCAATTTATCTGTCTGAGTCTATTCATATTGAAGTCTATATACACATATGTATATAAAATCAAGAGAAGGGCCGATTCCGCTACCTTGGTTTCAAATTTTCAGGTGATTGCAGACATGGTGTAGTGTGGTAGAAAATGAGGAGGGGAGGGGGGGGAGGAGGAGAGCAAGTGTATAAGAAATGTAAAAGGTAATAGATCCGTTCGTATATGATCCAGGTGAATCCTAGTAATATCAGATATTCAAACTGATCCACAGAGAGAGCTCAATGTATTTATTATAACAGAGCATATATTTTATACAGCAAACAATCTAAAATTACCTCGTGACATGAGGTAATTTTGGATTTAATGTATAATATATATATATATATATATATATATATATATATATATATATAATACAATATACATATATATATATATATATATATATATATATATATATTTCAAGCTAGTCATATGTATATATACACACACACATATATATATTGTATATATATATATATATATATATATATATATATATACATACACAATTGCACGCACACAGATATATATATATATATATATATATATATATATATATATATATATATGCCTGTCTATCTGTCTCAGTTCATTTATTATGAACTCTTTACATATATTTCTATTTAAAACTATTCATATGGATTTCTCTCTCTCTCTCTCTCTCTATCTAACTATCTATATGTGTGTGTGTGTGTGTGTGTGTGTGTTTGTGTGTGTGTGCACATTTCATTGAATACGGCAAACAAAGTGTTTTGATTAAGTTTTTTATACAATTTCTCATGTGATCTAATTTTTTTCAGATGATAAATTATATAAAAACTATCCAATTGTTCTTTTTATTCGACCGCTTTCGGCTATACATTTAGCCATTTTCAAGGTTGAAATATATTAACTGTTAACAAAAAATAGTTTTTTGCATGTCGAATTATTGGGGTGCCGAGCGGAGAGAATGTTCAGCAACCCTAATGTTGTTTACTGTTTTCGAAGTAAGTCATTTATTTTCCAAGTCTAGTTGAAAATCAGCATTCAAATCTATGGTATTTTACTTAGGCTTGAACTCGCTGCTACTTGTTTTAAATATGAAACTCCATCAGAGACATTTTAAAGTACTAGGCGTTTTCTTTTCCTTTCTTTCATTCTTTTTTTTTCTCTCTCTCTCTCTAATTCTTTCTTTTTCTATTTTTCATGACCGCATATTTTTCTTTCCTGTTTAAATTTATTTCTTTGTTCTTTCTTTCGTTCTCTTCTTCGTTTCCATTTGTCTTCCTTCTTTTTTGCTTTTCCCTTATTTATCCGTTTAATTCTTTCTCTTTTTCTTTCACGTTCATGTCTTTTTATTCTCAATTTATTGTTTACTTTATTTCTCTTTCTTCTCTGTTTTTTCTTTATTTTTCCTTTATTTTCCTTGCTTCTTTTTCCATCTCTTTCTTATTTTCCACCTTTATTCATTCGATTATCTTCTTTAATTTCTTATACACGTCTTTTTTTCTGCATTTTTGCTTTCTTATCTATATTTCTTCCCTTTCTTGTTTTTTTTTTTCTTTTATCCACATATTTTTCACGTTTTGCTTTTTTTTCCCATCTTTCTTGTTTTTTTATCCACGTCTTTTTCTCGCTTTTTCCCACGTCTTTTCCCCTCGTTTTTGCTTTCTTTCCCATCATCTTTTTCCCGCTTTCTTATCCACGTCTTTCCCCCGCATTTTTGCTTTCTTTCCCATCATCTTTTTCCCGCTTTCTTATCCACGTATTTTTCCCGTAATTTTGCTTTCTTTCCCATCATCTTTTTCCCTACTTTAATTTTATCCACGTATTTTTCACGCTTTTTGCTCTTTTATCCAATCATTTCCCGCGTTTTTATCCACGTCTTTTTCCCTCTTTCTTGCTTTCTTATCCACATCTTTTTCTCGCTCTCTTATCCAGGTTTTTTTCCTGCTATTTTATATTTTTATACCTTTTTCCCCTCACTCTGTCTTTCTTTCTTATCTACGTGTTTTCCCCGCTTTCTTGTCCGCCTTTTTCATCGTTTTTTTTTTCGTTCTTTCTTTCATTCTTTCTTTTACTGTTTCCTTTTCTCACTCTTTCTTTATTTCCTTCATATTTTCATTTTTTCTTTCTTTTTTTTCCTCTTTCTTTTCCTCCGTCTTTCCGGGGTTTTGTCCTTTTCCTTTATTCGTTCTTTAATCATTTGTTTCTCTTTTTGTCCTTCTCAACAATCCTGGTTAGGATTTAGCCTTTCCTTAACCATGTAGATATACCTGTTGTCCTAACCCTCATCAGTTACAACCCTTTCCTTTTACCGCTTACTCCCCGGTATCTAAACACATCTAAACTCTCTGTTGATTACCAGTAAAAAATATGAAACTGTTATGGTCCGGTTCCTTGTACCCCGGGTGATAGTCCAAGGTAGAACCAATAAAGAAGAACTCAAACACGGATATGGAATAACACAGATATATTACAAACAGGAATATATACAGAGAAGCAGAAAGTGTTAGTACGAACAATCAGGTTTAGTAGTAATTATCTGAACGCGACTCTGTTTCGGACTGCCTCTGACTCGACTGACTGACTCGCTCGCTCTGACTGACTGACTCCTGACGGACTTCACTCCAGACTTCAGACTGAATGATATTCAGTCACCCCGCCACGAGGGCGACATGTGGCACAAGACCGGTTTAACGTGGGATCTCTGAGCCCGTGGGCCCGGCTAAAAATATGCCCATTGAACCCGTATAAACGGGTTCAGGGTGGGTTTACCTCCCCGAAGGAGACTCCGCCCTTCGGCGTAGCTTCGTTCGGGTTCCTCCCCGCCCGAAGGCTGAGAGTTCAACCAGTCAGCCAGTCAGCCGGTCGCCCGACTTCAGGCTGAACGGTATTTAGTCACCCCCCACGAGGGTATCATGTGGCACAAGGCCTTTTTAACGTGGGATCTCCGATCCCGTGGGCTCGGCCAAAAATATGCCCTTTGAACCCGTATAAACGGGTTCAGGGTCGGTTTACCTCCCCGAAAGAGCCGGTCGCCCGACTTCGGACTGAACTCCCTGCTTCCTCTTGAGGCGCAGTATTTATTACGTATGGAATAGTCCATTATGTTATTATGGGTAAGGTTCCATAACAGAAACTAACGTGCATTTTAAATTTCTCTTTCGGGTAACAATATATTCGAGATAAAAATTAATTTTACGGTTAAATTTGCAGGGTTTCGAATAAATAATTTTACGAGAATGATTCTCTTAACAGGTACGATTTTCATTTCTCGTCAACTTTTCTTTTGATTCTCTGAAAGGAAAGACATTCTAAAGATAAGAATGATGATTGGGTTGAAAGAATGAGTAAAGGAAGAAGTTTTACTTACCTGATCGCCTTCAGAGAAACTGACTAAATGAGGTGAATGTTTTTAATGGACAGGTTCAAAGGCATTTTTTGTGTAAATCCCCCAGGTAGAGGGAGATTATTTTTTTTTCTTTTTGGAGTATCAAGAAAAATCAGATTGATATAAAAGAAAGGATTTGTTTTGATTTGTTTGTTTAACGGTATATCAAGATCCTTATGGGTCATTTAATACTGAAATTTAATTTTCTTTCTCTGAAGTAATAAAAATATGTTATTCTGCTTTCACAATTGAATACATGGTAGATAATGCTTAGCTTTTTTGTATATAGATATTTATGGGGGCATGATTACTAGAGGGGGTGATATGTTTGTTTTATGTTGTTTTGTTGATGTTATATTTTGGAATACAGTTTACTTAATTAATATCTGTAGTGAAAGAGATAATCATCTACCTCGAAAAAGAGTTCGTGTTTTGTGTGCGATCTGCCGAGGAAAAATTACCAAAAAGTAATTAGCAAAATTCCACTTTAAAGAACAGAATCTATGTTAATGTTCTTCCCTCCCTTGAATGGCGTCACCAATCAGAAAGATCTCTCGGTGAACAAAAACCGTTGTTTTTCGCTTATGTGGGCAGATTGGATTTTCTGAGCTTGGTGGACGAACGCGCTTTTTTACTGGTGAGAAGTGAAGGTTGGATGTGTGACCCCATTTTGTCATTTCTACGTTGCCTGTTGAACTGTTACGACGGACTATCGTTTGAACTGTGACTTTGCTACAAGTGTTGCGGTCGAGAGACAGAAGAAATCTATTGCAGACGTTTATTGCTACTATAAGTTGACAGTTTTTCAGTTTTTTCTTGCTTTCTCGCCATATTTTTTTTTCATATTTGATTCTAAGTTGTTGAAATAGGACCCTTATTTCAACAACTTAAACCCAAATATTAAAAGAAAAACCTTGCGATAAAGCAGGAAAAAAAACTGAAAAAAAAGGTTATTAAACGGGAAAATTCGGTAGTCTTTAACATCACATGCCATGACCAAGGGAATTCAGAGCAGCATGAATCTATCCAGCTCTTATCTTAAATAACAACTTAAAAGAAACACAACGACTGACCAAAATTCATAATAAAATAATGACCTGATAATGTTGATGTTTTTTAATATATATTATACTTTATTTTCCCCCAAATCCCGGAATATTTTGGAAAGAAAAGCTAAATTCAATAATGTAGTGAAGGAGATAATCAGCTACCTTGGAAAAATTACCAAAAAGTAATTAGCAAAATTCCACTTTAAGGACCAGAATCTATGCTAATGTTCTTCCCTCCCCTGAATGGCGTCACCAATCAGAAAGATCTCTCGGTGAACAAAAACCGGAAATTTGGATTTTCTGAGTTTGGTGAACGAACACGCATTTTGCTGGTGAGAAGTGAAGGTTGGATGTGTAACCCCATTTTTTTGTTTCTATGTTGCCTGTTGGACTGTTACGACGGACTATCGTTTGAACTGTGATTTTGCTACAAGTGTTGCAGTTGAGAGACAGAAGAAATCTATTGCAGACGTTTATTGCTTCTATAAGTTGACAGTCTTTTTTTTCTTTACAACTACAACTAAAAAGAAAGGAAAAATTGGATAATTCGATAGAAGCATAAAACACGAACCAAACTCGCAATAAAACACAATATTCAACACAAAAATAATTACATGCGATATCAGCAAATACAGAGAAAACCACACAACAGAGTTAAGAACCCTAACACATGCTACTATAGCGATTGCTATGTTTTCCACGCCCACATTTTATTCGTCTGCGATTGGCTAATAAATTACTACTACCTTTGTATAGGACAATTTAGCCATCGCAGTCCTTCCTTTGAATCTTTTGGTTCTGAGCATACTTACCTATTCTGTTTAGTACGAGTGTAGTGATTGGTTAATTTTTAACCAATCACATATTTTTAATGTAAGATCGAGTTTTCCCGCGGTTCCGTGGGAGCTTACCTTTTTTGTCAGTCTTTTTTTTTTCTTTTTAGGATATTATATAGATTAATGTCATGTTCGGTAGTATTTTAAACGGATTTGACTGACATCGCTATAATTTGTTAGTAAGGTTTTGTTTTTTTCATTCTGTAGAGTTCTTGACATGCCGTATAGATTGGAGGTGAGTCTAGTTGTAGAATATAAGAATGTGTTATCATGGAATGTTGGACATTATTACTTCATCTTTCCTTGTGTTTAGTTGTTGATGCCATTCTTCTATTGTAGGTTTGATAATGCATGATTTGTTGTTTAGGCCACCGGTTCAAATTTTTGGCCATTCTTCTTTGATAAACGTGTTAATGTTTGATATGAGGTCTGAGTAGAAATATAAACTGTTGGTAATTTTTAATCTGAATATGTATTATTGGTCATTTTTTTTACAATAACGTATTGTATTTGTTTATATAAATATGTAATTTTTTTTATATAAAAATGTATTTTCATATTGTTTTGTTTTTGTTTGGGAGGTTCCCTATGTGCCCATAGCTGGGTCCCTAACAGGTGCTACCACCAAGGTCAGATTGAACCTGGTAACAACAGCTATTAAGAGATGGTTCTACTCTCCTCGAAACCTGCAATCGAAGGATCGGAAGCCTTGCTGCCGAATGTGGTTTATCATCGGACACAGGACGTCTGAATGTGATAGATAGATAGATAGATAGATAGATAGATAGATAGATAAATATGAACAGACTGAGATAGATAGATAGATAGATAGATATGAGCAGAATGTGATAGATAGATAGATAGATAGATAGATAGATAGATAGATAGATAGATAGATATGAGAAGAATGAGATAGAGATAGATAGATAGATAGATAGATAGATAGATAGATAGATAGATAGATAGATATTTTTGTGGTAGCTTTGACCTGATAAAATATGAGTTGTTATTTTACTTTCACAATAGAATACATGGTAGATGATACTCAGCATTTTTGTATATAGATATTTATGGGGGTCATGATTGGTGTGTTTTATGTTGTAGTTTTGTTGAAGATATATTTTAGAAATACAGTTTGATTTCTTTAAGAAATTATAGGATATTATATGGATTAATGGATTAGGATATTATATGGATTAATGTTATGAGAGAGTCATTTTAAGTTGATTGTTTGGTTGAAACACTATTTTATGGTTTCAATTAAATATATTTTGAACGCAATTGTATGCCTTCAATTTAGGTTGGTTGATTTTGTTTAGCAGCATAACAACCTTTACATGTTATAAAATGCCGGAATCTAAATATTTTGAACAAAACTTTATGGCTTCACTAAATATATTTTAACTAAATATATTTTGAACGCAATTTTGGTTGGTTGATTTTGTTTAGCGGCATATCAACCTTTATTGTTTATTGTTTATTTAATGCCTAAATCTAAATATTTTGAACAGAATTTTATGGCTTCAATTAAATATAGAAACACACACACACACACACACACACACACATGTGTGTGTGTGTGTGTGTGTGTGTCTGTGTGTGAAAAAGTGTGTGTATATAAATATAAATAAATATAAGTATGTATAATTATTTTATATATTATAATTTTATTAGGTACTTATTAGAAAGCGCTCAATATCAGAGATAGAGCTCAATACCAAATATATATATATATATATATATTTGGGATTTCAGAGATAGAGCTCAATAATAAATATATATATATATATATATATATATATATATATATATATATATATATATATATATATATATATATATATATATATATATATATATATATTGATATATATATATATATATATATTGAGCGCTTTCTAATAATATATATATATATATATATATATATATATATATATATATATATATATATATATATATCCCACTCTCACTTGTTCATCTTTCCCGATGACATTAATCAAGACACTCATCCCCGTGAAAAATTAATTGGTAGAAAAGACACCTTCACACATCAATGCCATGATCTGATAATTCGTACCATTTTTTTATCCATCAAGGCGAAAAAGAAGCATAAAATATTTCAGAAAATATTAGGAGAGAAATAAGTTCAATGTTTCAAATGTACCAAAAGGAAAATTAGCTTTTATTGCTCAATGAATTTGATGTTCATTAGTATCTTCGTTTCTTATTTCTACTAATTCTACTAATTCCGGTATAAGCAGGAGGTATTCGGTTCCTGCTACCGCTCTAGGATTGATTCATATGTTTTTACGGTTTATCAACCTTTTGCAGTCTATTTAAAGCCAGAAAATTTTTTAGATTCTGAAAATGTTTTGGTTTGGTTGATTTTGTTTAGCGGCATATCAACACATCTATGGGTCATTTAATTGCCGAAATCTAAATATTTTGAACACTATTTTATGGCTTCATTTAAATATATTTTGACTGCAATTGTATGCCTTCAATTTTGGTTGGTTGATTTTGTTTAGCGGCATATCAACACCTCTATGGGTTATTTAATGCCGAAATCTAAATATTTTGGACAGAATTTTATGGCTTCAATTAAATATATTTTGAACACAATTGCATGCCTTCAATTTTGGTTGGTTGATTTTGTTTAGCGGCCTATCAGAAGCGTTTGCAATATAATGAGTTAAAGAGACAGCATAACCAGGAACAGTATTTTCTGCTTTGGTCAAATAGGTCAGAATTCTAATAGTTCCTTTGGCCAAATCGGCCAGAATTCTAATAATTGGTTTGGTCAAATCGGCCAGAATTCTAATACTTCCTTTTGTCAAATCGGTCTGAATTCTAATAGTTGGTTTGTTCGAATCGGCCAGAATTCTACTAGTTGGTTTTTTCAAATTGGTCAGAAATCTGACAGTTAATTTGATCAAATCGGTCTGAATTCTAATAGTTGATTTAGTCACATTGGCCAGAATTCTAATAGCTGCTTTGGTCACATAAGTCAGAATTCTAATAGTTCGTTTGTTCGAATCGGCCAGAATTCTAATAGTTGTTTTTTTTTTCAAATTGGTCAGAATTCTAATAATTGGTTTGGTCAAATCGGTCAGAATCTAATAGTTAGTTTGGTCACATCGGTCAGAATTCTAATAATTGGTTTGGTCAAGTCGGTCAGAATTCAGAATATGGTGAAAAAGAACAAAATGAAGAAGAAAAAAGATGTTGAAGAAAGAGATGATTACGAAGAAGAAGAATTAGGAGGAGGGGGGATAAATGTCCCGGATTGTTAGAAAATATAAGTAGTCTTTTATTATTTGGTAATTTTAACAAGAAATAACAAATCTATTTTTTTCCTCGAACTGATCCTGCTTTGTACAAAGCGACGCTCGTCCTGTCTTTTGTCAAGCAGTTTATATTCAATAAATACGCAAGCCAATTTCTGGACCGGCTTCTTTGAGGTTTGTTTATCGTAAATTTAATTTGCAAATTGAATCTCTAGTTAAGTGCTATCCAGGGAACATGGAAAATATATTGCACGCGCACATATTTTTAACGTACATAATTCTAATTGAGTAGTCATAGTGGAGTACTATATGGCGGCTCGGATTAGGGAATCGGACAGCCGATTTCGAATTCTAGCTGAGTTTATTACAATCACTTATGTGCTAATATCCTTGGGAATGGTATGAATGCATCTCTTTCCGTCCAGATTGGATCCTATAGCCCCGGGTGTTAAACGGTCGAGGAAAAACTCTTAAATCAAAACCAGCCTTGAGTTAGGCCTGGAAAAAGGCTGGTGTTCGTGAGTCGTCCGGTGGAGTAATGGATAGCGGCTCGGATTGAAGAATCGGGGAGCCGAGTTCGAATCCGATTACATTCCCTTACGTGCTAATGCCCTAAGGAGAGGTATAAATCCTCTTTTTCCCCCTTTTCACTTTAAATGGCAGGACAGACCGGGTTCGATAGACTTGGATGGCAACATGTCTACCGCAAAAAGAAATAGCAAACTACTACTATAAAAATTCTGCCTTGTCAGTCATGTATCGAAAGATACATGATCGCCTAAGCGTGTATCACGCAATGCACATAACTGACTGATTGAGTACTTAGGCTTCATTAATATGTGCCTAACTCAATACAGAAATGGACTCAAGTTAACGAGGAGGCACAGGGGAGTAATGGATAGCAGCTCGGATTGAAGAATCGGAGAGCCGAGTTCGAATTCCAGTCGAATCTATTATATTCACTTATGTGTTAATACACTAGAAAATGTGTGAACCTTCTTCTTTCCCCCAGCTATGGGTAAATAGCAGGAGAAATTTGGTTTTATAGCCTTGGATGGCAACGGTCTACCACAGAAAGAAATAGCAAACTACTGCTGGAAAAATCTGCCTCGTCAGTCATGTATCGAAAGAGGCATGATCGCCTAAATGTGTATCAAGCATGGCACATAACTGACGGAATTTTTACTCTTATCAAAAGAGAATAAAGTATTGAATATCAACTATTTAATCGAGTTTTCTGGTGTGTGTGTGTTTTTTTTTTGTTTTTGTTTTTTTTTCAAAACAGCAGATAAGCATTATAAATATATTAGTTACTAGCTTAGAAGCCACCCCTCGAACGGCCAAATTTAGGCTTTTTGATGCAGGGCTTTTTGGCCTTCGGCGTCATATGTACATAAATGTATATTCGAATTTAGAAATAATAAAATTATTTTATATTTATTCGGCACCTTAATTCGGCATAATCTTTCTTCGTATACGCAACCGATCTGAGTAGTTTATTTACATTTATTTTGCGTGTAATTTTTATTTTCATTTAAAATCACCATTCTATATGACCCCCTTCACAATAAGTAACTCTTAAAAGACATTAAGGAACCTGATCTTTTTTCTTTTTCTTTTTTTTTAAGCGTTTCACCCCAAGCAAGGCGAGAAGCCACTAGGACGCAAGGGGTTACAGAAAATTTGGAGCATGATCAGATAGAAGTGATAGAGAAAAAGATGAGGATAAGAGTAGTGGATAGATCAAGGCAACTGGAGATGTCGATTGACATTACATTTGAATAGTTGGAGAATATAGCTCTCAGGGAAACTGGAATAGGGAAGGGAGTTCCACAGGCGAGAGGTGCGAGACATAAAGCTATTGGAGTAGAAAAGACGGCTACATTTAGGAGTTTCGACAGTGAAAGGGTGAGAGCGGGATGCCAGCCTCTTAGGGCGCTTGAACTCATGAAGTCTGGGAACCAGCGAATGCAGCTCCTCGGAGCAATTGCCATGAAAGTATTTGTAAAAAAGACAGAGAGAGGCGACGACGCGTCTGTGAGAGAGTGACTGTAGACGAGTTGCCAGAACAGGGCTAATTATATTGCATACCCGCCTCTGGAGCCTATCATGAACCCCGAGGCAAACAGAAGGGGCTCCATACCATATATGGCAGAAATACTACATGCAAGGGCGAATTGTTGATTTGTAGATCTGGAGAATCGATTCCAGGGAGAAAAATTTCCTGGCGCGGCACAGGGAGCCAACTTTCCTTGCGGTGGACGAAGCAATTGACTCAATGTATTTGTTCCATCTCAGGTCATCAGTCAACGTGAGACCGAGCAGCCGCACAGAGGTGCTCTTGAGAAGTTGAGCGTCAGACATTACGTAATATTACGAATTCGTCAAGTACGCGTGCTAGAAAAAATCATATGAGCAACGTACTGTTACGGTTTAATTAGATGATGTCAATTGCAATTGCAACGAAAAGCGAAATTAAAATTAAACCTTTAATGAAGAATTGTTTTTTAAACTTTTCTCTCTGTTCGATATTTAAATTTAACTTTAAATGAGTTTTTTTTTTTTAAACTACGGTAGTTATGACCTGTTACTTCAGGTTGTTTATGATTTACCGTGATCGAAAAAGCGGACAGAAAGACGGACATACGTACACTGCGCTTTCTTTATACAGATGTCACAATGACACTAATACTAAAAC